TTAGCATTTGATGGCCTGGCAGTGCCTGGAACAATCTTTTGTTGAGAGGTGATTAGATGTATAAACTCTTTTTCCTAGGTTGTTGTAGGTTTTTTCGGGCTATATGGCCATGTTCTAGAGGCATTCTCTCCTGACGTTTCGCCTGCATCTATGGCAAGCATCCTCAGAGGTAGTGAGGTCTGTTGGAACTAGGAAAAAGGTTTATATATCTGTGGAATGACCAGGGTGGGACAAAGGACTCTTGTCTGTTGGAGCTAGGTGTGAATGTTTCAACTGACTACCTTGATTAGCATGTGATGGCCTGGCAGTGCCTGGGGCAATCTTTTGTTGAGAGGTTATTAGATGTCCTTGATTGTTTCCTCTCTGTTGTTTTGGTTTTTTCGGGCTATATGACCATGGTCTAGAGGCATTCTCTCCTGACGTTTCGCCTGCATCTATGGCAAGCATCCTCAGAGGTAGTGAGGTTCTGTTGGAACTAGGAAAAAGGGTTTATATATCTGTGGAATGACCAGGGTGGGACAAAGGACTCTTGTCTGCTGGAGGAAGGTGTGAATGTTTCAACTGACCACCTTGATTAGCATTTGATGACCTGGAAGTGCCTGGAGCAATATTTTGTTGAGAGGTGATTAGATGTATAAACTCTTTTTCCTAGGTTGTTGTAGGTTTTTTCGGGCTATATGACCATGTTCTAGAGGCATTCTCTCCTGACGTTTTGCCTGCATCTCTGGCATAGCCTAGCTCCAGCAGACAAGAGTCCTTTGTCCCACCCTGGTCATTCCACAGATATATAAACACTTTTTCCTAGTTCCAACAGACCTCACTACCTCTGAGGATGCTTGCCATAGATGCAGGCGAAACGTCAGGAGAGAATGCCTCTAGAACATGGCCATATAGCCCGAAAAAACCTACAACAACCCAATTATGTGTTTGTTTGCTTATGGTGGCTGTGCTGTCACGTGCTGGGCCTATACTGCCATATAATCCAGATTATCCACATTATCTGCTCTGGACTGGATTATATGAGCTTACACTGCCATACAATCCAGTTCGAAGCAGTGAACTGTGGACACTCATTGCCTCTGAATCCATTCCTTGGAGGCTTTGAAACAGAGGCTGGAGGGCCATCAGTCAGGGCTGCTTTGATGGTGCTTTTCCTGCATGGAGGAAGGAGGTTGGACTGGATGGACCACGTGTCTTCCAACTCTATGATTCTATTCCTTTGAGGCCGAGAGATTTTCACTTGTCTTCCCAAGAGATTTGCAGGATTTTCCGGAGGCAGCGCTGAATTGTTCCAGGAGTTGCATGTGACGTCTGTAGACAGTCCACGTCTCGCAGGCATATAGCAAGGTTGGGAGGACAATAGCTTTATAAACAAGCACCTTGGTATCCCTATGGATGTCCCAGTCCTCAAACACTCTCTGCTTCATTTGGAAAAATGCTGCACTCGCAGAGCTCAGGCGGTGTTGTATTTTGGTGTCGATGTTGACTTTGGTGGAGAGGTGGCTGCCAAGGCAGCGGAAATGGTCAACATTTTCTAATGTTACACCATTAAGCTGTATCTCGGCATTGGAGAGGGATTGGCTGGTGACTGCTGGAAGACCACTTTGGTTTTCTCGATGTTCCATGACAGGCCGAGCTTCTCGTATGCTTCTGCGAAGGTGTTTAGAGTGGCTTGTAGATCTTCTTCTGAATGTGCACAGACGACATTGTCATCAGCATACTGGAGTTCTATAACAGATGTTGTTGTAACCTTGGTTTTGGCTTTCAGTCTGCTGAGGTTGAATAGCTTGCCATCTGTCCGATAGATGATTTCCACTCCGCTGGGAAGCTTCTCATCAACAAGGTGAAGTATCCTTGAATAATCCAGGTGAATAATCCAGGAAACGTGGATTATTATGTCACTCCAATTGGGGCATGTTAGGAAATTTCCTGTTGGATTTTTAACCCCCCCCCCCCCCCTTTTCCTCATTTTTGATCAATGATCCCTAGGAAGAAAGGAAGAAAACAAAAAAAAAAAAAGCCCTTCCACCTTGTGGTTCAGGAAACCAGAAGCTAAAATGGGCCAGGCCTTTAAATAGACCTGATTCCATTGCACAACTTTTCTCTCTTCCTTCTTCTTTTTTCTTGTAAGAAGCAGGTTGGCAATTAAGCTTCACCAGGCTGAATTTTCTGCCACAAAACAGGATGACCGGACAATGTGTCACCGCCGTCCTTTGTCATCATCGTGGCAGCAAAATTTACGGCCCAGTCTGGCTAAATATGGAGGTTTCCAGGTTTTGTGCCTGGTGGTTTCTTGCTGGAAGCAGGCTCTGCCCACCTCCCCGTCCCTCTCGCCTTTTATGCGCCCCAGACCTAAACATGGCGTTTTTATGGCAGAAAGAAATGTGAGTTCTGAAGTTCACCTTGTTGCAAAAATACGACATGACCAGATGGCCGCATTTGGTCCTCGTTCTCAAAGGGAGTCAGGGCCATACCTGGATATCTCTCTGAACTGTTAGCGACAAAGATATGTCAATGCACAACATTTACGACAGATCTTCAGATGTGTTATTTCAGTTGCCGAATTTTTTTTCTTTATTTCTTTACTAGCTTGGGGACCCGGCGGTGCCCGGGTTATGTGAGAAAGGCATTCTTTACCTGTGCTCCAAGTTCAGTCTAGATCCAATGTCAGCTGGGTTCAGTGAGTGCAGGTGAACTACAACTCCCATATGCAAGTACCATTGTCCATGGTCCATCCTCCTCCAAACTGCACCAGGATGTATAGTGGGACATGGGGGCTCTGTGTGTCAAGTTTGGCTTGATCAACCAGTGGTGTGGGTCGCAGTGGTCTCAGGAAGTGAGTATCACAGTGCTGTGTCTTGACGCAGGGTGAACTACAACTTCCACTCTGTGGAGTCAGTCCCCCAAACTCCTACAGAATGTTCACTTGTTATCAATTCCTCTGTTTGCTGTGTGCCATAGGAAAAGGTTAAGGAAGAGGCAGTGGGCGGGATTATGCAAATGAGAGGGAAAGGAACCCTGGGAGGTGTCTTTGGTGGAGGAAAAACAGAAAATCTAGGCTGAAATGGTCCCCGCATGAAAGCCTTCACTTGGGTAGTGGGCAGGATGGCATTTGTGGAGGACATTGGCAGGACTCTTGGACTTGTTCATGGTAACCTGCAATGTCAGTTTTGGGAGGGCCATGGGTATCTCCAGTTCAGTGAGAACTATAGCCTGTTTGTGGAGGTGGGGCTCTTTCTGGGTAAACAGACACCCTTGCCTCCTACCACATACACACATTTTCACTTTTATTATGTGTATAGATAGATTTACTATATTTGTGTACCGCATTTCTCAGCCGATTGGAGACTCAAGGCGGTTTCATCTACTAAATATATTATCTACTTTCCCATAAATTATATAGGTTTATAAATCATGCTCTTAAGAGACCGTTTACGTTGACTTTACGTCTAGTTGTGTCCAACTCTGGGGGGTAGTGCTCACCTCCTTTTCTAAGCCGTAAAGCAGGTGTTGTGGGTAGTCGCCTCCAAGGTCATGTGGCCACTGGCATGACTGTATGGAGCGCTGCTATCTTCCTGCTGAAGTGGTACCTATTGATCTACTCACATTTGCAAGTTTTCGAACTGCTAGGTTGGCAGAAGCTGGGCCTAACAGCGGGAGCTCACCCTGTTCCGTGGACTTGAACCACCGACCTTTCGGTCAGCAAGTTCAGCAGCTCAGTGGTTTGTTTCTAGCACCCACTTTTTGTTTGATGTTCAGGCAGTGCTTCTTGTGGGTCAGAGCACGGTCCAGAGTGACTCCTCCCAGGTATGTGGTGTGCTGCAATGCTCCAGTGGGATTCCTTCCCGGGTCATCCTCAGAGCTCAGGATGCTTGTCTGTTCTTAAGGTGAAAGGCACATGTCTGTGTTTTAGGTGGATTAGGGATCAGTTGGTTTCCCCTGTAATAGGCAGTAAGAGCACCTAGAGCTTCAGAGAGCTTCTGTTCTACCATCTCAAAGCTCCCTGCTTGAGCAGTAATGGCACGATCATCAGCATAGATGAAACTCTCTGTCCCTTCTGGCAGTGGCTGGTCATTTGTGTAGATGTTGAACATGGATGGAGCAAGCACGCTCCCCTGAGGCAGGCCGTTCTTCTGTTTCCGCCATCTGCTTCTCTGGCCCTGGAACTCAACAAAAAAGCTCCTGTTTTGTAGCAGGTTTCCTATGAGGAGGGTGAGGTGGTCGTCCTTTGTGATATTATACATTTTTCTCAGGAGGAGGAGGCGGTGGTTCACAGTATCATAGGCTGCCGACAGGTCTATGAAGATAGCTCCTGTGATCTGCTGCCTTTCAAAGCCATCTTCTATGTGCTGAGTCAGGTTCAGCACTTGCGATGTGCAGCTTTTGCCTTTCCTGAAGCCAGCTTGCTGTGGGATCAGACATGGGTCTATTTTTTCCATAATTCTATGCAAAATAAGTCTCTCCAGAACTTTGTAGAGGTGGCACAACAGGGAGATGGGGTGCTGGGGCTGGAAACATCCTTTATGTAAGATTTTCTTTTTGCACCCAGGCTCTGTTTGGTTTCCCAAAGAGGGTTTTCTCCTCCGCTCCACTCCGCACCTATCGCCTCTTTGCTTTTCAAACCTGACAGCTGTAATGAAAGGGCCTCCAAGAAAGGACAGTCCTGCCCTTTGGTTCGATGTGTGCTCAAAAAAGAGTCCACAAAAGGGAAGGAGGGATCGCGTTGGGTGCCAGCAAACCGCAGGGAGCTTTAAACTCAGAAAGAGTAAATACCGCCATTGTAATAAAGCAAGGAGATTTGAAATTCTGTCCGCAGTTGCAGGTTGTTCCCCTTCTTTCTCTCTCTTTCTGGTGACTTTCTAAAGAAATGGCTCGGCTGTTGTTTTTGGCCCGTTGACTCCCAGAGGCCAAAAGCAAGAGAGAAAGATTTGCTGTCATATGTTATTCTGGAGGGCAAGGCTCCTCTCGACTCAATGGATTTGTCTCTCTTTACCTGGCAGGTGTACGTCAACGGAGAATGGGTGACCAGCATCGGAGAAGGGGGAAGCTTTGGAGAGCTTGCGCTCATCTATGGGACGCCACGCGCTGCCACCGTCAAAGCCAAGACCGACCTCAAGCTCTGGGGCATCGACCGGGATAGCTACCGGCGCATTTTAATGGTGGGTGCACAACCGCATGCCATTCTCACATTAGGGCTTGTGCCGTCACACCCAGACACTATGAAACTAAAACGAAGATGTGCTTCTCTCTTAATCTGGGTGGACCGCGGGGGTCTTTCTTTAAAGGCTCAAAAATTCTCAGCAACTGAGGCCACTTCAGGTTTGGAACATCAAACAGAATATTTATCTTCAAAGTCCTTGGCAGACTTGGCACAGCTTGAAGAAGGTACAACACAAACAGTCAATTTGGTAAACCATAGAGATGATCTTTATTTCTTTTTTCCTTCAGTTACTGAGGTAACTCTTCCCCAAATGGTAGAAAATATCCTGGGATCCTTTCACACTAACCCTGAGCTGCTATGGTTAGAAAAAACAGGTTTTTCCCTATCTATAGCTCAAGGTTAGCTTTGGGGATGAAGTAATGTTCAATAATATTCAATAACTCAATATCTATCTATAACTCAATTATCCAAGATCTACTTCTTGGATAATTGAGTTATAGATAGATATTGAGTTATTGAGTTACTTTTCGGAAAGCCTGTAAAACCTTTCTTTTCCGACAAGCTTTTGACGGGTGAATAACTCGGGGCGATGTCTGTTTCTTGCTTCTTACTGTTATTTTAAAGCAAACTGTATTGTTTTAACCTACTTATATAAACCGCTCCGAGTAGCGGTATACAAATCGAATAAATAAATAAATAATTTATTTATTTATTTATTTATTTGCTTTATTTCTATACCGCATTTTTCAGCCCTTAACAGGCGACTCAATGCGGTTTACATGGTACAATTATCAAACAGTGTCAGTGCAATTAAAGCATAACAATGCAACAAACAGGATCAACAGCATCAATCCACAACAATTAACAATCAACAAGACAGATAAACAAAACAAACATAACATAACGCCTCAGTTGAAATCAGATCCGTTCTCATAATCCTTGTGCCATTCCTATGTTCCATTTACCGTCTTCCTTTGATTGGTTGCACTGCTTAACCAAACGCTTGTTCATAAAGCCAGGTCTTAACCATTCTCCGAAACGTCAGCAGCGAAGGTGCCTGCCTGATGTCTGCCGGTAGGGCATTCCATAGCCGAGGGGCCACCACTGAGAAGGCCCTGTCTCTCGTCCCCGCCAAGCGCGCCTGTGACGCAGGCGGGACCGAGAGCAGGGCCTCCCCAGACGATCTTAATGTTCTGGTCGGTTCATAGGTGGAGATGCGTTCGGAGAGGTAAGCAGGGCCAGAACCGTTTAGGGCTTTATAGGCTAAAGCCAGCACCTTGAATTGTGCCCGGTAGCGGATTGGCAGCCAGTGGAGCTGGCTCAGCAGAGGAGTGGTATGCTCCCTGAGTGCCGCTCCCGTTAGCAACCTGGCCGCCGAGCGCTGGACCATCTGAAGCTTCCGGGCAGTCTTCAAGGGCAACCCCACGTAGACCCAATATTACTCAATCGTTATTCTATCTATCTATCTCAATTAGCTTCTTTATCTATATAACTCAATCCTCAATTGTACTTACAATGATTTTTTCAGAGCTACCTGCCTGACCAACAGCACATCTGAAGCTTTCTTTCTCTACTGAAGGAGGCAGGGGAGATTCCAAAATGGAGATCTCAACCCCTGGAAAAAGGGCGGTCTCTACACCCAAAGAGATACCTTTCTAAACCAATAACTGCAGGGAGCCTGCAGTCTGGCTCTCCAGACTCTGATACTGTTTAACTTCCAGGGTGCAGCTGAAAGTGTAGCAACCCTGGGGAAATGCAAAGGAACACTATCCCATGCAACTAAAAGGCAACGTAAACTATGCTCCTGGAAGATGGAACAGGGCTGTTTGGGTTCAGTCCTTTCATGATGCTGTAAACCCTTGAGACACTTTGGCTTCCTGTCCTAGACCTTCTACATAGCAATGCACAGGATTGTATGTGGATTGTGGGAGGGGAAAAGCATCGTCAACAAAAGACCTCCTTCTGCAAGGAGAGCTTCCAGCCTTTTCCCTTCCATGCCCAGAAGTGCCCTGAAATAGGACACTTAGATTGGCAAGACCTGGCTGCCAAGAAAGGGCAGGATGTAGTGAGAAGCAGGGAAAGGAAAAGCATCAGCAGGTACAGCCAAGGCAGAAAGACAGGATAACGAAACGTACGATATCAATCTTATCAATCTCGCTACTGGCACCAATTATAACGAAATGCGTAGTGATCTTACACCAAGTATCCCACAGCTGAACCCCACTGTGAAGGATTATATGTAATATCACACTACTGGACAATAGTATGGTAGCGAGATGATGTTAGATGTGTGTAATGGTAGAGTCTTCTTTTGGTTTAATGCTGCCACCAACCCAAGATGACTTTGGATTTTTAACGTGAATTTCTGAGGTAAACTTTCCCCCTTCTGCCAACACAACTTGTTCTGGTATGGCCGTACCAGGAGCTCCAGCTTACCGTGTTATTTGTTGTATGTATTTTAAATTTCTATGCTTTTGCAGTTAGACAGCTTTCCTTACTTTGCAGTTATTGGGTCAATGACCTGTCAATTATCATTAGGTTCCCCAGTTCCGCCCCCTTTTTGGGTTTTGGGGGGAATAGGAGCCATTTTAGGTCTGTCCACACAGAGAAGCCTTCCTTACAGGACTTAAACCAGGGCCTCCTGTAAAAGGCTTCATCATTTACAGCTTGGCCGGTGAGAAAAGGCCCCATAGCTTGGCCAGGGATATACAGATACAGCCTCTCAGCTCTCTTGCTAGGGATCCAGTCCCACAGCGCTTCAGCCAGCCATCACTGGGAAGTGAACATCTTCCTCCTCCTGGAAGTTCTGCAAAGGTCTCTGTTCGGTAAGGGCCCTTTGCGGCAACCATAAAGCAGATTGGACCGGGTGTAGGGGTCCCACGCCAACAGAAGAGAAGACAGATTGCCCAGGTAGAGGTCGGGAGTTTTCCCAACAGTGATGGAACAGTTGCCTGCCTTTCGGGGCAAGATTGAGAAAGCCAATAGTTCATTAAGAAACCTTTGAAGCTAATCGTTGAAGATTTGTTATTTGTTCAGTAATAAAGATTTTGTTGCATCTTTAAAGACTTTGGAGCCCATCTTTTCAGGAAAATCCCAAAAAACCTCTCTCTGAGGCAACCCCGGCGTCCTGTTGGGCTAACAGAATTTAAGTCCCGTTTACAGTCTTCTATAGGAGCCCAGCGTGCGACAGCACACAACTCTTCCCTTAGCTCCCAGAGTGACTGTTTGGATAAGAGACCTTTCTTTGGTATTAAGATGTTAAAGAGGCTGGATTACAGATAGATTGAGGAATGATAGAGACCTTGTTGACAGTTAAATAGAAAAAGATTTATTTATAAAAACAACAGACAACTAACTACTTCTTCTGAGAGGCACAAAACGCTTGACTTCTTACAAAAGTGAACTATAGCTTGATGGTTGTTTGAAATAAGTTTCTTCACTTGGTTACATACAGAGCTAAACAAACAGATATAGCTACTGATTACAGAAACCCCTCACTCTACTTCAGAGAAAAAGTAATGAGTCACTGACTAACCTAACCTAGGTAGTCCCCTGACTTATCAGCTAACTCTTCCCAGAGTTCTTCCAGCTAACTAACTCAGAGAGCTAACCCCTTTTGCTATCTCCCACAAGAAATCAGGTAGCTGTCTGACCCTTCCTGTCGGCTAATCAGCCCTGCCTGACACAGACACTCTCACTCTGAAAACCCAGTTTCAAAAACACTTCTTCCACCAGCTCCCAATCCTCTTCTCCTCAGAAGCTGAAATCTTTTCCCTCCTAAGACTTTGCTCCTCCCCTCTGCTCTAGCCAATCCCAGGAGACCTCAAACTCCTCCCATCTTCTAGCTATCCTCACTCAAGATGGCTGCTTCCCTGGCATACACTCTCAAAATGGAGGCTTGCCCTACTGTTATCCAGGCTTCCTTCTCGGCCTACTAGGTAAGAATCACTACAGACAGGTTCAAAGTATATGCCCTGTTTCCCCAAAGTATATGCCCTGTTTTCTATAGGATTGAGATCCCTCCCAAACTAGGATTCCGTCCATGGGCTTCCATGTTGCTTTCCCACAATGGTCCCTGCCAAACTAGGCTTATATCCATAGACTTCCATGTTGCTTTCCCACAATGGTCCCTCCCAAACTAGGTTTCCACCCATGGGCTTCCATGTTGCTTTCCCACAATGGTCCCTCCCAAACTAGGCTTCTGTCCATGAGCTTCCATGTTGCTTTCCCACAATGGTCCCTCCCAAACTAGGCTTCTGTCCATGAGCTTCCATGTTTCTTTCCCTCAATAGTCCCTCCCAAACTCGGTTTACATCCATGGGCTTCCATGTTGATTTCTCACAATGGTCCCTCCCAAACTAGGCTTCTGTCCATGGTTTCCATGTTGCTTTCCCACAATTGTACCTCCCAAACTGGGCTTCCATGTTGCTTTCTCACAATGGTCCCTCCCAAACTCGGTTTACATCCATAGACTTCCATGTTGATTTCCCACACACGACGATGCAATAAGAAGATGAGAGAAAGGAAGGGAGGGAGGACAATGGTCCTTCCCAATCTAGGGTTCCGTTCATGGGCTTCCATGTTGCTTTCCCACAATGGTCCCTCCCAAACTAGGCTTCCATCCATGGGCTTCTGTAGTGAATCTTATCTAGTAGGCCGGAAAAGCAGCCTGGATAACAGTATGGCAAGCCTCCATTTTGAGAGTGTATGCCAGGGAAGCAGTCATCTTGAGTGAGGATATCTAGAAGATGGGAGGAGTTTGAGGTCTCCTGGGACTGGCTAGAGCAGATGGGAGGAGCCAAGCCTTAGGAAGGAAAAAGATTTCAGCTTCTGTTGAGAAGAGAATTGGGAGCTGGTGGGAAAAGAAGTGTTTTTGAAACTGGGTTTTAAGAAAGAGAGCATCTGTGTCAGCGAGGGCTGATTAGCTGACAGGAAGGGTCAGACAGCTATCTGATTTCTTGTGGGAGATAGCACAAGGGATTAGCTCTCTAGACTGAG